AAAGAAAGAAAGAAAGAAAGAAAGAAAGAAAGAAAGAAAGAAAGAAAGAGGTAATGGAGTTAAAAGTGGAACTCCATAGAGTGGCAGCCCTAATTTGGCTCACGGTTGGTTGGGCCTTCCTTCGCCGCAGTAACCAGAGAGGGGAAAACCAAGCACGTGGTATGGTGCCGGGTGTGGGGCGACCCACTCGGGCGACCTACATAGAGCATTGGGTTCCCCTCTGCCTCCTCCAGCCATGGCGTGGGGGGGACGACTGCTGTTACTCATCTTAGGGGCCTCACAGTTGCCCAACTGTGGCGGGTGGGCGCCTCAAGTGTGAACTCAGGGTGAGGACTTTCCGTGTCTAGAAAGGACTCCAGGGCATCAGTCTCCTCCACACACGGCTCCCCAGGCACCAGTCTCCGCCCACTCCCTCCTTCTCCCCAGGGTTCATTTCTTCAGTCAGCCTGGGACTGACCTGACCCCCCTTAAAAACGGCTGTCGGAGTCCGTGGTGGCGCACACCTTTAATTCTAGCCCTCAAGAGGCAGAGGCCGGTGGATTCCTGTGAGTTTGGGGCCAGCCTGGTCTACACAGTGAGTTCCAGGTGAACCAGAGCTGCACATGAGACCTTTTCTCAAAACAAACAAACAAACAAATAAAAAGCCGCCAGGCAGGCAGCAGTGGGACGCTAATGGGCCCGCGGAGCTTTGCTCGTCAGTCTTTGGAGTTTTTGTCTGTAGGGACGGATACTGTCTACCTTCCCCTGTGTAAATTCCTCCCTCAGTGAGGCAGGAGCTAAGAGAAAAGGCGTTTGTGAGGTGTCCCTGGCGACCAGGATGCTGCGGGGGAACCCTGGCGTTTCAGTGGCCCTCCTTCCCTCCACCTGGACCCTTGGCGTTAGAGCCAGGGGGTGGGGACAACAGGTGTCCACCGCTCAAAGCGAGGCCATCCACCCAGAATCAAGGCATGTCTGCATCAGAGTTTGCATTCTTTATTTTCAAAATTCATGCCCTACAATCCCCCCACACACCCCGGTCATGGGGTCCCAGGCTCCCCGACATCATGATTGACACATTCGCAACGCCAGTCCATCCTCCAGGGGTGCAGACGGCTGTCACCCCACCATCACCGCCCCGAAGAAGGTCTTCCCCCTCCTGGAGTCCACCATGTCCGGGTGACTGATGTTGACATACACCCGCTCGCCGCTCCGCAGCTGCACCAGGCCGCCGAAACCCACGCTGGTATACCACAAAGACCGGTACCCGACGGGGTCCACAGCGGGGGTCACGGTCTCTGCGCCCTCCAGCAGCAGCTCCGGGGAGCCCCGCCCGTAGGCGCCCCCGGCGCGGTACAGCGCGCTGCGCAGAGTGAGCGTGCGAGCGCGGCCTCGGCCGGCAGGGGGCGCCCTGCCCCGGTACCCGACGTGGCAGTAGAGGTAATAGACGCCGTCCAGCGGCAGCGCCAGCCCGTCGGTGCCGGAGAACTGCGCTCCGCTCCTCAGAAACGCTTCTTCTTGGCTCGCCTCCCAGCCGAGCCCTCGCCCGCTCACCCAAGCGCCTGCAGAGAGGGACACGCGTGGGCTCTCGGGCCGTGGGCTCTAGGATGGGGACCCCGTAGGGTGAGCCGGACCCGAGCGAGCGGAGGGGCGGGGTCTTTTTCCCTCCGATGTACTCAGCGGGGAGGGGCAGGGTTAAGGAGGCTACCAGGTCTACCAGATGCTTACCAATGAGGTGGGCAGCAGGAAGCTCGGGGCTGGGCTCAGTTTCCAGCTCCCCCTTTGGCCGCCGTTGAACCCCTGGATCTGGTGAAGAATCCAGGGCTGGAGGCAGGGTGGCCACCCACGCAGATGCCTCCTGAGAGGACTGTGCAACCGGCCCCTGGGATGCGGAGCCTGGATTCTTGGAAGAAGGGGGTGTTTCGGGGCGCAGACCGGGGTCGGGAGTCCCTGAGAGGCTGCGGGGTGAGGGCAAGAGGCAAGACGGCTTGTTGTCATCCAGTCTCTTTTGAGCCTGCGCTGCTGAGCCAGAGATCTTCTCAACCTGGATGACAGGGTCACAGCGCCCAGAGTTCAGACGCGGCTGATGGCAGCTCCACCCCTCCCGGCACAGAGCCCAGCCCTAGGCTACCTCCAGCGACCTGCCTCGCACGCATCTTGCTGAAAGACAGAGCAAACATAGCATACGCTCTTGGGCAGAGAGCCGGGAGCCGGGTGTCAGGAACAGACAGACGGGCAGCCAGGAAGGGGCTTGCAACTTCAGGGTAGGGCGGCATGGAGAGCAGACAGAGACAGAGCCGACATGCCCTCTGGGGAAGCCCCCAGCTGAACTGGGTGGGGAGCAAGCACAGCCAGAGGTTAGCGAATGGCCACAAGATGCAGCCCTCTGGCGCTGTTGCAGCCACTCACCCGACGTCCCTGATCCTGGGGCACCAGGGCCAGCACAGCCAGGACAGTGATGGGCACTGCCAACAGCAGGGTCACCAGGGAAGTAGCTCCTGCCACAGCCAGCAAGAGGCAGCCCCTCCCCTGGGGCCTCCCACCTTGGCCCTGCAGTCCCCGTGTCCCCATCCAGACTCAGCACCCCTACCAGGGGTCAGGGGCTTTCATACCTTAGGGGTAGGGCCACCCCCTCCCAGAAGACCCACACACCTGCCTGGGACTTTCCAACACCCCTGCTCCCCTCACACAGCTTCCTGTTTACCCAGAGCTGGGGCTAGGGCGGGGTAGCTGGATGCCTGGGTTCTCTGAACTGGGGAAGGAGATGGGGCAGAGAGAGGTTTTCAAGGAAAAGGTGAGGGGGGCTTAGCAGGGGGGGAAATGAAGCCTGGGAAGGAAGGAAGGAAGGAAGGAAGGAAGGCAGCTTGCAGAAGGCCAGGCAACGAGACTGTAGTGGGCAGACAGGGTTCCAGGATTTCATGTGGTCTGTATGCTCTGGACCTTACCCGCGCGCGCGCGCGCACACACACACACACACACACACACACACACACACACACACACACACACACACACACTAAGAAACTCTGGGCAGCTGCATGTCTGCACCCCTGAGATGGCCCTACCTTCAAACTGGCTGACCTCTGCTATGGGTACCCCCTAAAACTAAGTAGGAAAGGCAGAAATGAACCCACCCCACAGTAATTATAGCTTCATGCAGGGACCTCAGCCTTGCTCTCTGAGGTGACACAATGACAGAGCAATGCAGAGGCACACTCCCCCTCAAGGGATGCAGTCTAGAGTGAGTGTCATCCATCAGGAAGCGCTCACTAAGGTTCATAACTGAATGGCAGGATGAGTGGTGAATAGGCGTTCACTGAATGTCGTGAACAGCAAGAACAGAATTAGCGGAAGGGGTGGCAGCTGACTGGAGCCTAAGGAAGGCTCTGTAAGGAAGCTGGACCAAGATCTCAGGTCATCTCTCCTTCCTGATGGCCCAGCAGTGTGCCAGTCCAGACTGTTTGTCTGGGTGATAATACCCGCACAAACACGAATATAACTGACAGACAAACAGCACTGAGAACCTGCTGGCCACCTATCTACGGTCTTTATTATATTATGCATTTAATCTCCATGTCGGGGCTCAGAGAGATTAAAAGGCTGTGGCTGGGATGGGAGTGGAACTCATTGACAGAGTGTTTGGATACTGGGTTTCATTTTTTTTACAGTAAAACAGTACTAATTTCAGATTTGTACATTTTACTATATGCAAATTTTATCTTCCTGTGGCAAGGAGGAAAAATGAGGAAACAAATACTGACTTGAGCAGCTTAGAGGTAACATGTAGTAATGCTTGCAACTTGGTAAGATATGAGAAGTAGCTGGGGTTGTGGCTGCTGGGTCAAGTGCTTGCCCAGCGTGCACAAAGCCCTGAGTTTGAGTCCCCTGCACAGCAAGGCTGCAGTCTCTGCAGGATGATCCTTGACTGCAAGTGTGAGGCCAGGCTGGGGTGCAAGGGAAAGAGCCAGGCGTTGGTGGTGCACGCCTTTAATCCCAGCACCGGGGTGGCAGAGGCAGGCGGATCTCTGTGAGTTTGAGACCAGCCTGGTCTACAGAGCGAGTTCCAGGTCAACCAGGGCTGCACAGAGAAACCCTGTCTAGAAAAACCAAAAACAAACAAAGAGATTTTTTTAAAAAATGAGATAGGTATGTGATTCAGCAAACAAAATGTTTGCAGATCTAGGTCAGTGGTTCTCAGCCTTCCTAATGCTGCAGCCTTTGGTACAGTTCCCCGTGTTGTGGTGACCCGCAACCATAAAGTCTTTTGTTGCTACTTCATAACTGTAATTTTGCTACTGTTGTGAATCATAATGTAAGTATCTGATATTCAGGATATCTGATATGTGACCTTCCAAAGAGGATCACAGGTTCTCAGGTTGAGAACCATGCTGATCTAGTTGATAAGATTAGTTTATGGGGACTGGAGAGAGGGCTCAGTGGTTAAAAGCGCTTGTGGCTCTTGCAGAAGACCTGGGTTAGTTTCTAGGACCCAGGTCAGGTGACTCACAACCACCTGTAAGTCCAGCTCCAAAGGATCCGATGCTCTCGTCTAGCTTCTCATGACATTTGCACTCATGTTTGTACACAGACATGGAACATAATTATAATTAATTAATTTAAATACAAATATAAAATATGATTAAATTAAATATAATTAAAATAATAAAAACAAATCTTTGAACATATATATTTATTTGTTGTTAAGGTTCCTTCTGTCTTTCTAGATGCTTGAACTTTAGAAGTGTGTGTGTGTGTGTGTGTGTGTGTGTGTGGTGTATATGTGTATGTGTGTATGTATATGCTATGTATATGTGTATGTGCGTGTATGGTGTGTGTGTGTATGTGTGTGTGTGTGTGTGTGTGTGTGGTGTGGTGTGTGTATGTGTGTGTGTGGTGTGTGTGGTGTATGTGTGTATGTGTGTGTGGTGTGTGTATGTGTGTGTGTGGTGTGTGTGGTGTCTGTGTGTATGTGTGTGTGTGTATGTGTGTGTGTGTGTGTGGTGTGTGTATTTGGTGTGTGTGTGGTGTGTGTGTGTGTGTGGTGTGTGGTGTGTGTGTGTATGTTTGTGCTATGTATATGTGTATGTGTGTGGTGTGTGTGTGGTGTGTGTATGTGTGTGTGTGGTGTGTGGTGTGTGTGTGTATGTATGTGCTATGTATATGTGGTGTGTGTGTGGTGTGTGTATGTGTGTGTGTGGTGTGTGTGGTGTGTGTATGTGTGTGTGTGGTGTGTGTGGTGTATGTGTGTATTGTGTGTGCGGTGTGTGTGTGTGTGTGGTGTGTGGTGTGGTGTGTGTGGTGTATGTGTGTATGTGTGTGTGTGTGGTGTGTGTGTGTGTGTGTGGTGTGTGGGGTGGTGTGTGGTGTGGTGTGTGTGTGTGTGTGTGTGTGTGTATGTGTGTGTGTGTGTGCATTCTTGCATGTGAGTGCATAGAAGACTTCAGTTGTCAGTCTTGTCCTTCCACCTTGTTTGAGACAGGTCTGGTGTTGTCTTCTCTGCAAATCCCAGGCCAGGCACTCCCTGTGTTCTTCCAGGAATTCCCTTTCTCCCCTCCCCTCTCACAGCAGGAATATGGAATTTCAGAAGTGGCTGTCACACCCATCTTTATATGGGTTCCGGGGACAAACTCAGGTCTCCAAGCTTGTGTGGCAAGTGTTTTCACCAATGGTCTTTCTCTTCACCCAGTGTTTGAAATTTTTAATAAAAAAATAAGTTGTGATAATAAAATATAAAAAAGAAGAAAACCATTTAAATTGTGTCCCACACCACACATTTGGGGGTGTGGTGTAGGAAATAAGTACCATAAAATTCCCGAATCTGGTCAACAAAACATGCGTAGGGACCCAGGCACCAGACTCACTCATCAGCTGTCTCCGTATTAGCTACCAGCCTTCACTCTGAGCAAAGACTTGGGGCACAGCCCTTGAGTGCCCCTCCCCCTCGCACTCCCCCTCCGCCTCTCGGGGTCACTATCGCCCTTAGTTCTCTCTCGATGTCAGAATGCTGCCTACAGGGTTCCCAACATTTTTGCTAGCACCGGCTTGTCGCCCACGCCCTGCGTCTGCGGAAACAGAAGCAGATCTAGACTGGCTGCCTCCGGTTCTGCTGCTGAAGTAGTCCATCGATATCCCCATGCATATGGCCACCAAACACCAGGATAGGTGCCCCAAGACACCCCAGAGCTCCATCTGGCGCTAGAGATGCTGGGTCTACCTGCCTATACGCAAATGTTAAACAGACACAGCCGAAGGGGAATCTGGGTTTGAATTCGTCATGGAAGGCCCCGGGAGGAGGTGGACATTCATTCACAGGGTGAATTGGAAGGCGGGACCCGAGGGGGCAACCACACTGGTGGTAGCCTGGCGTCTCAAAGGGAAGTTGCTGCAACCCATCTCCCAAGGTTACACTTCCTCTCCTAGATGCAGGGGAAGGAAGATAGAACCAGAGGCGGGACACAAATGCCTGGGGTGGGGACGTTTCTTTCCACTCAGATGGCTCTGAACAGTTGACTGAGTGGCCTCTGTAAACGGCAGAGTCTGGGGAAGCTACCGGTGGGTGTCGATCCTGCCCCGGAGGGATAACCGCTAAGACAGAGGGAAACAGACTGTGGATTTGGGGTTTTCAAAGCCTCAGGGAATCTTCTATGTTCAGATCCTATCCTTGGAGACCCTGGTGCCTCCCTTTCCAGATGTTAGAAGAATCTATAGCTGAAAGTGGCCGCACACTCTGTAGGCCGAGGCAGGAAGATGCGGAGTTCCAGGCCTGCCCCGGCTACACAGCAAAACTCTGCCAATAATAATTAGTTAATCAATCAATTAATTAATTACCTGTTCCCGATTCATCACAGTTCCTTGCCCCCCCACCCCCGCCCCCGCGTGCCTGTCCACAGAATTCCCCTTAAAACTAGGAGGCTCTTGGTTTCCAGCTGTCATCCCCGAGCCTGGTTCTTGGGTTATGTTTTTGGGGCCTCTTTCTGCCCTCAGACGAGAACCAGATTAAATGGCAGGAAGTGCCCGAGGGAAGTTAAAGGCCTCAGACCACTTCTCCACACCAGCCAAATAAGGCTTTCCTGGGGATGGGCGCCATCTCTCTATTTTCCCAGGGGTCCCACACCTACTCCAGACCCTGGCTCCCTTGCCTTTATGGGCTCTCTCGGCAGCACACAGGCTCACACAGTTCTCCTGACCTCATCCAAGACTCTCCCCAAGACACTCCCTCCCCCCACCACATCAGCCTGGGGCAGAGGAGATCCAAGGGGCTGGGGACAGTTAAACACCTTCTCTATTACTTCTGGGCCTTGTTTGCTTTTCATACAGGGTCCCACTGTGTAGCCAGGCTGTCCTGTGTAGACCAGGCTAGCCTTGAACTTACAGAGCTCCATCTGTCTCTATTGTCAGGCTCAGCGCTGGGTTTTCCTTGTTAGTCTCAGGCCCCTAGCCGAGAAAGGGGCACCATAATATATCACGACAAACAAGACAGCCCGTCAAGGACAAGGATTGTAACAGGGCCCCTTGCCTCGGATGGGGAACTTGGGGGCCACGTGACTTGCCCAGGTCATTAAGCCCAGCAGAACAAGGATTAGTTTAGTCTTGACCTTCAGGCCTGTTCTCAGAGCCCAGCTATGTTAACAAACAACCGTGGTAAGTAGGGGACTCCTCTGATCTAAGGGGAAGGGACCTGAGTGCTAGAGAGTGAGGGGGTGAGAATCGGTGTTCATGGTTAGGAGAGGTGGTCAGAACGGCCCCAGAACTAACCAGTGCAGGTATGAGTGGGACTTTCAGAGACCCAGAAACAGGAGGGCGTGGGTGAGAAGTCAGGAGGGTGAGAGGTCTCAGATACCAGGAAAGGTAGCCGAACGGACGGACGTTATGTGTTATGTGAATCTCTAGAGGAAGTGAGAAGTTGAAGTCTTGGTAAAGAAAGTGCCTTGGGCTGGGGAGTGCTCCTGAGCAGACACAAAGCCCTGGGTGACAGTTCCAGATGTTCAAACTGGGTATGGTAGTGCATACCTGCCTGCCCAGTGCCAGAGAGGTGGGGCAGCAGGACCGGAGGTCAAGTTCATTACTCTTTACATAGAGACGTCAGGGAGTTTGAAAGCAGCCTAGACTATAGAAGAGCCTACAAAAAACAAAAAACAAAAACAAAAACAAAACAAAAAACAAGCAAACACACAAACAAAACTAAAGCAGGGTGGTGGTGGGCGGCGCACACATTTAATCCGGGCACTCAGGAGGCAGAGGCAGGCAGATCTCTGTGAATTCAAGGACAGTCTGTTTTACAGTGTGAGTTCCAGGACAGCCAAAGTTACACAGAGAAACCCCGTCTGGAAAGAAAAAAATCTCCTAGAGTATATTTCCTGCATCTAAAACTGTTAGAGGGTAGTAGAGCCCTGGCTTTAACCCCAGAACCACATAAGGCATGCATGGTAGTCAGCACACATTTATCAACTAGCATTCAAGAGGTGGCGGCAGGAGGGTCAGAAGTTCAAGCCTTCTTGGCTATGTAGTGAATTTGAGGCAGGAAAGAGACAGAGTGGTGCGAGAGGCACTGGGTGGGAGGGGAGAGGGAGAGGGAGGAGAGACTTTGTATATATGTAAGAAGTTGTGAAAGAATAGAAAGAGAGTGACGGTGGAAGGAAGAAAAGATGAAAGAAAGAAAAGGGAAAAAATGAAAGGAACTATGAAACTTACATTTAACCAGTTAAACCATGTCCCCTTTTCCACCCTACAAAAGAATTCCTGCTGTATGGGAGCTTGGGGCTGGGAGGGCTCCTTCTCCTGCTTGTCACCATCCTGTCCATCTGCCTGTGCCGGATCCATCGGAGAGGTGAGCCCTACAGTCACCTCCCACAGCCATCCACAGCTTGCCCCCTATACCGTTTCTACTTTGAGGACAGAGGTCCCATCAGTCCTGTCAGATCCTGGTAGGAGGGGAGGGTCCAAAAGGCCCAGGCTTTGACTGTAGTCCCCACAGCAGTCGGCAAGTGAGGAGTGGGGGAGCCGCTGTGCTGGGGTTGGAAAGTCCGGGTGGGGTGCTGTCCTAGGGTGGATGAGCCAGTTTGGGGTGCCATTCTGGGTTGTGGAGCTGGAGAGAGTCTTGCTGAATCCTCCCCCCCCCTTTTGTTTTCCAGTGAAGAGACTGGAAAGGAATAAGGTAAGTCTGAGGGGTGGGGGGGTGAGGGGAAAACCAAGTAGGGAGTGGGGCTGGAACGTAGGGGGGGAGCAAAGAAAAAAGGGAAGAGGAAGTAGGAGCGAAGGAGAAAATGAGAGAGACAGAAAGAGAAACGGGGCAACGAGGAGAAGGGAAGGAAATGGTGTGTTGATAAGCGTGTAAAACAAGTCCAGAACAATGACCAAGAAAGGAAGACTTGTGATAGAGGAGGTTAGAGAGAGAGAAAGATCCCAGGGCAATCAGGACTACAGAGAGAGACCCTGGCTCAAAACAACAGAAGCAAGAGAGAGAAGAGGGGGAGAGTGGCTGGCAGTGTGGTTCAGTTAACAGTGTTTATCGACCATGTACAGAACCCTGGGTTTAATTCAAAGCACAGCATAAAACCAGAGCAGTGGTACATGCCTGAAATCCCAGCTAGAGACAGCATGTTGTCCTCAACTACATATCCAGGTGAAGGCCAACCTGAGCTACATGAGACCCTGTCTCAAAACTGTGTGTGTGTGGAGGAGGTTCCTAAGAAAAGTGCTTGCTGCAGCCTGCCTTGGTGGCCTGTGCCAGAATCCCAGCATTGTAGGGTGAAGACAGGCAGGTCCTAGGGGCTCTCTGGTCAGCCAGCCTAGTGGGAATAGCAAATCCCAGTTTTAGTGAGAGACTCTGTCACTACTACTACTACTAATAATAATAATAATAACAATAATAATATGTAGAAACAATTGGAAATGCATCCAAGCCTTCTTTCTGACTTTAGGTAGAATACACACAAACACAGACACACACACACACACACACACACACACACACACACACACGGAGATTGAGGCAGCAGAGAGAAAGAAAGATGGGAGCTGGGGCAGGGCTCAGGGAAGGATGTGAGGGCAGCACCCTGGGCCCTCATCAGAGTCCTCTGCCAGGGCCTGGTCCCAGGGCAGGAGCCCCACTATGCATCTCTGCAGAGGCTGCCAGTGTCCAGCAGTTATGACACCGACAGAGGAGAAGGCGGAGGTGTGAAGGAGGAACCCAGCACTGACTATGCCTGCATTGCCATGAGCAAACCCACCTGAGCACCCTCAAATGCCTCCCTCGGCCTGGGAGGGGGGTCAAAGTCACTCTGTGTTCACCTAGTAAAGACTGGTTCCCCACTTCTGTGTCACTCCATGGCTAACACTCCCACCCGCTTGGGGTCAGTTGTCACTGAGTGTGGAAAGACAGTAACCAGCTTGCGGTCCCCAATGTACAGTTGACAAGGGGTCAAATTGGCTCTGATAATCTTCGTTTCTCAGCTGCTGCAGCCATAGCCTCAGAGCCCAGAACAGGTGGGTGTGGCGGTGCGAGCAAGTCTGTCCCTGGACTTTTCGATGTCAGTCCTGCTGGAAGGGAGAGCTAATTGGGGGTGGGTGGGTGGAGAGAAGTGTAGAGAGGTGTCTGCATAGTAAGAAAATACATGAGAGTCATAAGTGGGAGTGAGGAGCTGACACAGATTTATTGCTGGTCTTTGAGGGTTACAATCGCTCCTCACGGGCTGTGGCTGGGAGGGGGGCCGGGTATTCCCATGTGACAGGGGCCTGGAGAGAAATGGGGCGGGGGGGGGGTGCTCAGAGTCACTGTCCGGAAGCTCTCTTCCTCCCATTCCTGCCACCATTGCCCCTGCTCAGCAACTCACATTTGCCCTGATAATAGAGGGCACTGCCTATGGCCACAGAGAGAAAGCCGAGAGCATAGAATCCAGCTCGGAGGAGGAGGCTTACGTGGGTCACTTGTTCTGAACTGGAGGCTTGCTGAGGAGGCTCTGCACCGGGACGTGGAGAGGGAGGAGCTCGGGATCTCAGAGCTGGGGACAGTCCTTAACTCCCAGGGACACTGCATCTCGGGGTGTCCCACCACCTCACCTTTCTCCACCACCAGCCGAGTCCCATTTCCTGTTCCGACGCCCAGGCCCAGCACCTCCACCCTGCACACATAGATCCCGGTGTCATGGCTTTGGGTGTCCCGTATGAGCAGCTCTGCCGTGTGGTCCCTGATGAACCGGGGAACAACAGCAAAAGAGGCCACGCGGCCCCTGAACTCTGGGGTCATGTTTCTCACCTCCATCCCCGGGGCCACTTTGTCTTGGTACCATGTGACAGAGCCAATGGCCACTGCCCCTCGGCTGGCATTGAAGGAGCAGGGCAGAAGGGCAGGGGCGCCCTCTTGGACGCGTATCTCAAGGGGCTGAGACACCCAGAGAACACAGGATCCTGGGAAGAAAGCAAACATCCAGAGAAGAGCTACTCAGTAACTGCAAAGGAAAAGGCATCTAGAGGACAGACACCCCAGCTTTCCTCATGGCGGTGTGTCAGGACAAGCACCCTAGGGTGTCTTGTTAAGCCCTTCCCCTCTTTACTAATTTAATTTCTTAGTTTTCAAATTCTTTCACACACCAACTCCAGCCCATTTACAGCCAACCTTCTCTAGAAACCCATTTTTCCCAACTTGATCCTCATGGTATACTTGAATCAGGAATGAATGTAGCTGCCTAGTTAAGAAACTCCATCGTGGCGTCACTCTAGATATTATTATTGTGATGGGAGTTGCTTTTGCTTTATGTTTGCTGGGGTTTGTTTTGTTTTGATTTTGTTTTCTGTACACCTGACACACAAACATAGATACAGGCAAAATTCCACTTTTTTTTTTTTTTTTTTGAGACAGGGTTTCTTCTGTGTAACAGCCCTGCTGTCCTTTGTATACAAGGCTGCCCTCAAATTCACAGAGATCCATCTGCCTCTGCCTGCCTCCTGAGTACCACACACACAAAAAAAAAAAGAAAGAAAGAAGAAAAAGAAAAAGAAAAATGTCATCCTACACTACATATCAATTAATTTTTTTGAGTTATCTTTCTTAATCTTTCTTAATTTAAAATATTTTATGTGAGCCGGGCATTGGTGGCACACACCTTTAATCCCAGCACTTGGGAGGCAGAGGCAGGTGGATCTCTGTCTGCAGAGCGAGTTTCAGGACAGGCTCCAAAGCAATACAGAGAATATATTTGGTCTCAAAAAAACAAATATATATAGTATGGGTGTTTTGCCTACTTATATGTCTGTGTGTCACATGCCTGCCTACCGCCTGTGGAGACCAGAAGGGTGCCAGACCCCCCCAGAACTGGAGTTATAGATGGTTTCTAGCCACCATTTGGTCCTGGGAGTTGAACTATGGAAGAACAGCCAGAGCTTTAAACCACAGAGTCATCTTTCTAGCCCCTACATATTAATTTTAAAACTAGACTGGGCTATTGGAGATCCTGTCACCCAAATAAACATTAAATTAAAAAATAATTGTGAAATGAGGATGATGACATGGGCCTGTCCTCCAGCACTCTACATCCAGCCGAAGTCAGGAGTACCTCCAGAAGTTCAAAGTTCAACACACTACATAGAGAGTTGCAGGTCATCCAGGGTAACATAGCAAGACCCTACTTCAAAATAGAAAAAGCCCAACAATCAGTCAATCGGCAGAACATTACCATGGGCAGGCTCACTAGAGATCTGCAGAAGAGCCCGAGAGTTTGCCTGATGGTCCCAGCATCCATGATTTTGGATCAGCAATCTACAGTTTGAAAAGCACGTATGTACTCAACAAACATAGCTTTTGCTTGTTTGTTTGTTTATTTATTTGTTGTTTTGGTTTTTGGAGCTGTTTTCTCTGTAGCTTTGGAGCCTACCCTGGCACTCGCTCTGTAGACCAGGCTGGTCTCGAACTCACAGAGATCTGCTTTCCTCTGCCTCCTGAGTGCTGGGATTAAAGGTGTGTGCCACCAACGCCCAGCCAAACATAGCTTTTTATGTTCTCTTTGTTAATTAAAATCTGTTTCAGAAAAAAAAAATTATCAGGGGCTGGAGAGATGGCTCAGGGTTAAGAGCACTGGCTGTTCTTCCAAAGGTCCTGAGTTCAATTCTCAACACCCATATATTGACTCACAACCATCTGTAATGAGAACTGGTGTCTCTTCTGGCCTGCAGACATACAGACAGAACACTGTATACATCATAAATAAATCTTTTTTAAAAATGTATCTTAGCCATAAGTCTCTAAAACTCCTACTTACATATGTGAGCCCTATCTAATAGACTTGATAATCTAATCGACCTCATAAAACAAGTTGAGCCCTTAAGGATGAAAATCAGAGTGGCAAAATGGCTTAGCAGATAAGGCACCAGCCACCCAGCCGATGGCCTGAGTTCAAGTCCCCACGTAGCAGAAGGAAAGAGCAGCAGACTCTTGCAGGTTATTCTTTGATCTGTGTGTGCCTTGGCAGGTGTGTACTCCACCTCCAAGAATTTTAAGAATTAAAAACAAAGAAAGAAAACCAGCTGAGTGTGTTAGTTTGATCTAGGCACTCAGGAGGCTCAGGGGAGAGGGCTGAAAGGCCAGGGCCAGGCTGGGCTGCACAGCCAGGGCTAGGGGATTAACTCATTTGGTAGCATGCCCGAAGCCCTGGCTTTGATCCCTAGCTGCAGGCACACTGATGCACCAAGTGTCCTAGGCACCTGGCAAGTGGACATGAGAGAACAAGTTCAAGGTTATCTTAGCTACTGAGACCCTGTCTCAAAAACAAACAAGCAAAAATAACACGCATAGCCAAACTCAAAGTGCCACCCCTCCTTTTCCACCCATTTTCCTGGGGCCTTTCAGGTTTATCTTTCTTGAGAGGAGGCTGAGAAGAAAAAAGGCTCCGGAAGGGATGATAGAAATGACCCTTCAGGTGGGGGTGACCTAGCAGGTCTGCCTCCTGAGTCCACAGGCAAAGGCTTTCCCTATCCCTTGGGGCACAGTGTTCAGTGCTCACCAGGCACCCTCTGGAGCATCTAAGTCCTCCCCCACACTCCCACCCTGGGTTCTGAGCAAACTCCCGGTCACCTGGATAAACCATAATGCAGATGAGCAGTAGTGCCTTGGCCATGTCTTCAGTTGACGAGGTGAGGCAGACCTCAGCAGTGAGGTCTAAGCAGAGGAAGAATGACCCGAAGCCTAGGACAGGCAGGACTCACATAAGACTTGCTAAGGACCTCGACTGAGCTTATGCATGTCCTGCTGAGGAGGGAGGTGGCACTGACTAGGATGCCTGGGGCTCTCTGGAAGCAGCTAGGGGTCAGGTGGTGCACCAGGGCAGGATGTCCTTGCATCTGATTTTACAAGAGGGGGTGGGTGAGACCAGGATGTGGTTCTCTCACCTGAGGTTCAAGACCAGACCTTCTCCCAGAACAAACCTCCAGTCCAGAAGGTCTCCCGCCTTCCTCTCCCCTTTGTTCAGCCATGCCCAGGCCCGCTGCCTCCATGACTCCCCAGTCTGGCTTTCCCTCTGGGCTGCCCTAGGACTTCTATAAACGCTGGGATTAGGGGAGCAAGCTAATCAGTGGTGGTGGATGTGAGGTTACCCAGGACTGCATCTGGAAGCTTCATTTGTACAGGTTGGACCTATTCCCCCACCGTGTTGACAGGAGAGTAAGTATCATTAATGGATATGTTTGGCTTGTTCATAGTTTTCACATTTCCTGGAAAGGGTCATTCCCAGCAGGTCTGCTTTACTGTGCCTGCTACGCAGACTCGACCACTGGGAAATCTATTCATTTATTATTTTATTGATGTTTATTGAGAATCTACAAGGTGCCCATCATATGTTTTTCACAGGCACAATGGCAGACACCTTGTTACCTATAACTGCAGGTCACACAAGTGCCAGTATCCCCTGGTATGAACTTCACAGACCCACAGGAGATGATACAGTACCTGGAGGAGAGGCCTTAGTGTAAGGTGCTGTGCAAACAATGGCCCAACCTCGCCGTCCACCCTCTG